GGCTTATACTCGAGTATATACGGTACTATGTTGAATATTATTATTTTAATATTGTAGAATAAAATGTGGAATATTACTATTTCAGTATTGTAGAATTAATATCAATGTAATGTAAATTTTGTAAATTTTGATTACTGTTCAACAAAGATACTTGTACCCAGACAACACACTGTTCTACTGAAGATGGAATTATTGTATTAAAAATAAAAAAAATGGAAAAAGAAAAAAGAAAACATGGCCAATTTTTGAGCAGGTATATTTTTATGATTAATCCCATTACTATTACACAAGGCACTAAAATTAAAATAAAACTTGTTTCGGCTGATGAATAGAAGTATTTGAAGCGTTCCCTTCATTTGACTTCAAGTTTCTTGTCTTCATGAGATTCAAGACACCCAACAGCCATACAGTTAAACTATGCAATGTTTTCAAGTCAAAAGGAAAATAGTGTTTTTATGGAGCACCATTACCTATGGAGCACCTTTACCTATTTCTGAAATATTGTTAATTTTTTGGAATTGTGGTAAAACAGGTATGGAGAGCTGCCTGTGGATTATGAGGTTCTGAAGAACACCAGCAAATTCCATTCAGGAAAAAATGCTGAGCCAGTTTAGAGTAAAATAGGAAATGCAATATTGCTTTGTTTTCAGTAAAGAGTTCATAAATTCATTGCTTCTTATTGTGGTACAGTATAAACTGCAGTACATAAATTTTTAAGTGAAATTGATCTGAATGAAAGTAGAATGAATTTAAAACAAATCAGATTGCATGGGCAAATTAGTACATCAAAACAATGGAAAAAAAAAAACCAGTGAAAGACTCAGCACAAAAAAATTAATTTCAGTCCAGAGTATCTTAACATCCTGTATTGGAAATAAAAATGATTCCTTAAATAAAATATTTAATTTTAACTTCCCATGTTTCTCATTATTTGAGACCATAACTGCAAAAACATACATTTTCATTTTGGACAGGATAGAAAATATCATTTTTGCTGGCTAATATCTGAGTTATTAACATAAATATGAGCACATATTTTAATATATTAGAATAATTATCTTCAAATTTCATCAGTCCATTGAAAAAGTGCCTTTCTAGTTATAATAACTGAGAAATAGCTAAGACGTTTGCATGTGTATATTCCATTTAAACTGCTACCAATTTATTTACAGAACTATGGAGATGGACCTTCTTATGAACATATGACAAACAGGGACCTTGGATCACATGACAATCTATCTCCTCCTTTTGTGAATTCCAGAATACAAAGTAAGAAGAAATTAATGTTTCTATTACCCTTGTATGTTTGTAATTGCTTGTGCTTTTTATTTTGAACTGAAATAATGCTCCTTTCACTACCATCACATTCTAAAACATCTCCAGGAATACTAATTATCCCATGAAATAAACCAGTGTCCATGTTAAAGTTTGCAAATATTTTGCTTAGAATAAGTATCTGCAAATATGTGGCTTGTAGCCTGATTTCCTTCATACTTGCTTTTATTTTATTTTTATTTTTTTAAAAAATTTATTCTTTAAAATCAAAAATACAAAATTCTCATTTCCATTATCCTTCATACCCCCTTTTAAACAGTGTTAAATCCTCTTGTATTCACCCATCAGATAAAACTAAGGATTCTCTGGAGAAGATTTGAAGGGAGGGAGAAGCTGGAATGTTTAAAGGGGAAAGGGGAGGAAAAAAATGTTTTATGGAGTGAAGACCACTTCTACCGTATTTTGGCACAGTCCTTGGATATATCACCTTGCTTTTAATTGATGTCAATTCGTTTTTCATATGTTAGATTTCATGGTTTGAAATGTGACTTATATTTATGGGAAAGGGAGAGATTGTCTTATTATGGCACTTCTGTTTCCATTTGCGTTTGAGCACACCTCATCTGTAAAAAGTTAGTTATTTGTATGTTATTTTTATGCTAGCATATTGTAGATGTAAAAATGATAAAATGGAAAATGTATGAAAAAGCTCAGTGAGTCCAAACAAATGTTCCAGTGGATATGTAGGATTTGCTATCAGCAATCAGAAACTGTTGTTTTCTTCATGTAACAGTGTGAATTTGCCTATAGGGACTTTTAGTCTATGGGCGGCTAGCTTCTACATTAAGTCTGACCTTGTCTACAGTATGTTCCACTTCTGGCAGCCTGTCGGGTTTGCAAAGTGTGTGCCCTCACAGTTGGATAACGCTTGGTCACTATCATTCTCTTTTACAGGGATCGCTTTCCGTAGTAATAATTCTGGCTGTTAAAAGAAAGTCTTTAATTATTTGCAAGTGCAGATAGCAGCTTTAATCATGCCTGATAAATGAGTTGGGTTAAGATAAATATATGATGTAAAAATATTACTAATCCTTTTCTTTGGCCAAGATCACACCCTTTTCCTTGCACTTGTCAGTGAACTAGCTGAGATGCCTCGGTTTCAAACAACTGAATCTGAGCCAAAGAAAGCAATGAGTTGTAACTGTGATATATCATTCTAGGACTCGTATATGCCCCTGAAATATTCCTTGTCTTTTATTATTAGGAAATATTTGTGAGTTGTTTAACATGAGAGACAGTGTTGAAGCTTGCAGAAATGTGTGTGCAGTCACACACAAGTAATGTAGCTACAGCCATTTCAAAGAGCTGGTTTGAGCCAAGAAAAGCAAAGAAATTCTGAACCGCCCTTCTTAACTCACACTATTAGATTTGACTTCAGGCAGTGTAAATATAATCTTTCCATGTAACCATGGTCTTCTGTGAAGCCCACTGTGCTGAGTGATGCTTTCAGGATTGACCTTTTCACTGTACCTTTAGCAACTTTTAAGGTTTATCACATCCTGTTTTGGCTTATTTTAACAGAGAACACTATAGCCTGAAAATCATTTTTTGCCAAGAAAATAATGCTTTCTTTTGTATAATAGAGTACTTTCTTTTAAGCATGGAGGAGAATTTCATAGCATTATGAAATATGAAGTCACTGCATCCTGATTAGAATTGTTGGAGCATGTAACAGTAGACAGGTTTTATACAACACTTGTTCGAAATTTAATTTAAAATCTAAAATGCTGGATTTTTGTAGTTGCTGAAAACAATTGTTATTTGTTGGTTCCATCAGAACTGCTTGATTTAAAATGACCAGTATGTATCCCTGTATTCTAGGCAGTGCATCTCTGTATTTTGTATCCCTGTATTTTGTTTTATTTCACTCTTTTGGAAATGTTGAGTCTTTGTAGGTTCCTACAAATGTGTTATTGCAATAAAGTTCCATCTGCATTAAAACCAGTGATCTTTCTTATGCAATCTACACTTTGTATTACTAGAGTTTAAGATTTTCTTTGTTAATTACAACTGACTTTCTCTACTTGTTTGCTTATGTTAAAAGAATTGATCACTTTGCTGAATCTCCATTCATTGACACCTGCAAAACTCTCTTGAGCCCACCTGCAGAAAGTCTGTTGCAAAAATTTAAAAGCTGGTGCATGCTATCATTTATTAAATTTATATGCATCTCATCTCACTTTTCAAAGTGATTTTGGAAGGTCTTATAATGCCATAAAAGCAGAGGTGGTGTTCAGCAGGTACTGACCAGTTCTGGAGAACCGGTAGTGGAAATTTTGAGTAGTTCGGAGAACTGACAAATACCACCTCTGACTGGAGATTTTACAGTATCCTTCCCCTGCCACTCCCACCAAGCTATGCCCACAGAACTGGTAGTAAACAATTTTGAATCCCACCACTGCATAAAAGCATAAATATAAAAGCACTAACAGCTTTTAAGGACCTTCCGGAAGGCTGGAAGGATGGAGGAGGGTCTCACTTATGGCAACAAGATGTCCCAGAGGGCAGGACCTTGGCAGAGAAGGCTTTTCCTTTAGACTCTGCTAGCTGAAATTCCTTGGCCAGTAGAGAACATAGAAGGCCTCTTTTGCTGGTGTGGGTGGCGTAGGCCAGTCCGATTGAGGCAAGACCATTCACTAGATAACCTGGTCACGTGTCATGAAGGACTTTAATGATGATAACCAACACCTTAAATTGGATCTGTAAGTAAACTGGCAATCGATGCAGTCTGTCTAATAGTTGTGTTACATGTACCACCCGAGGAGCCTCCAGAACTGTCCGTATTACTACATTATCCCCATTCATTATGACAACTGTTGGCTAAGAATGATGGGAGTTGAACTGCAGTATATTAAAATGAAGTAGTGATGAAGGAGAAGTACATGAAATAATTTCCTCTTGTCCTTAACATCTGTCAGGTGCACACAACCTGAACCACACCTGAATAGGCTCAAATAGATATTTATTGTTGATCACCTATACTATAAGAACTTCACCAGACTGTCTGCCTTCCCTTGGGAAACAGGAGATATAGATCAAGAGTTTGATTTCAGGTATTTCTTCTCCCTAAACCAATTCCAAGTTGGATTGTCTCTGTACTCCCTTCTTCTTGAGCTAGTGATTCTACCACAATGTCCATGTAAGCTTCCCAGATTTACTGGGTGATAAGATGGTTGGCTAATAAATTTTACAAATGAATAAATACCAGTAGTTTGTGGAGCTTAAAAAAGCAAAATACTATCCTCAGTTCAGACTCCTCTCCCCATACTAGGTATGTAACAGAAAGTAATCTTGTCCTTCAATGGAAGGAAGTCTGAAACCTTTAGATCTAGTCAGAAAGAACAACTAATGCTCTGCATCAGATAAAAATATTCTGTTTATGTACGAGGCCCTAATGAAAGTGTTGTTCTCTCAGATAAGTTGTCTGCTCTGAAACATGGACTTTTTGTGATTATGAAATGCTACATTTGCCACCTCAAAGAGATTGAAAAGAGAGTTGCAACTGCATGGCAGATGAGAGGGTTTTACCTGAAAGTAACAGAAATGTCTACAAGATGAGATCAGTGAGCGAGAAACTGTAGAATTCCCAGAGCGAACATGTTGAAAGATAATTTTACACAAGCCACAGAGAGACGCCTTTGATCAGGAAAAGCTCTTTTGTACTCGGGCATGATCATTTTAAGGGCTGTTTTATATCCTAAACCCTATTGGGTATGCTTTATTATTTAAAAGAAGGATGAGGATTAAAACAATGGTAATTATGGGAGTCGTTCTTGGTTTAAATATTTCACACACATCTGTAGATGCAGCAATTTGACATACTGGCTTAGTTTTTTATTTTATTTTTTTGGTTCTGAGTGTGTTTGTCAAAGCTTAGAAAATACAATTTCTCTAAGTGGAGTTATCTGATTTTAGACCCCTTAATATTAAATATTCAAAGATTGGTGGGGGGGTGCTTGTTCCATTTTAGCAATTTTATTTCAGGTGCTTTCAGTCTATTCACCGAACATGAGAGTCCTATAAAATTTTCTCCTATTCATACAATTCTCAAAGCAGATTTTTTTTTAAAAAAATCTCAAGTGTAAGTTTGCTCATAATTATGCCAGTATTTGTCATCCTTATTTTATAGAAATAAAGTTCTTATAAAACTCATCCAGAGGTAATGCCTATCAGTGGAGAGCCACTTAAATCTAACATATCCCTGACATACGTTAATACTGATAGCCCATATTTTAATACATCGCACATACATTTAGTCTATTGCTTTAACTATCATTTTATTTTGAAATATTTAAGCCATTTGAAATTACGACTTTAATTTTAGTAAATTAATTAGCATGTGGTTGTGCAGTTTGATTGTCATTTATTCTCTCAATATGTCTAAACCACCTCAACACACTTTTTAATTTTGTATTTAATTCATATTCATTTGGCCCACATTCAGCCTTACCCAATTTTTTCTTGTTTCAGATGCAACAAGCAGACAATTCCTACTTCACCCAGACTCCTTTTATGTTTCTCCGGACATACCCAACTCTTACCTCCATGTAGTAATGTGGGCAGTGTGGGTTCCTATACACAACCATTTTTCTTTCTTTCAACGAACATTCAGAATAATAGAATAACAGAATAACAGAATATATCTTGGAGGTTTTCTAGTCCAACTCCCTGATCAAGCAGGAAACCCTATACTATGGTATTGGAGAGTTGAAGCACCCGTAACTTCTGGAGGCAAGCCATTCCACTGATTAATTGTTCTGTCAGGAAATTTCTCCTTAGTTCTAAGTTGCTTCTCTCCTTGATTAGTTTCCATCCATTTCTTCTTGTCTTGCCTTCAGGTGTTTTGGAGAATAGATTTTCTTTTTTGTGGCAGCCCCTTAGATATTGGATCATGCTAGCCCTTCTTTTCATTAAACTAGACATACCCAATTCCT